CCCAGCCTCTCCTGAGCCCGCCGGGGCCCGCGCCGGCCAGCGCCTGCCCTATGAGTGTGTCACTGGTTGTCATCCGACTGGAGCTCGCCGAACACTCGCCCGTCCCCGCCGGCTTCTGCTTCAGCGCCGCGGGTGAGTCCGCCGGCCTCGCCGCCTTCTCCGTAGCCCGCGCCCGGGCCCCGAGGGGACCTGGGCCTCCCAAAGTACGCGCCCCGGGAAAGGCCGCGGCGAGGGCTGTTACCTCAGGAAGCAGCCGAGAGGGGGTTGGCTCCCTCTCATCCCGTCCTTCCTTCAGAGGCCTTCCCGGGGGTCGCCTCCGGGAAGCCCCTCCTGGGCCTCCCTCCTGCCACCCCTTCTCCCCGCCGGGAGCTCTGTTTACACCCGGCGCGGCGCGTCTCCGCCCGGGGGTAGAGTCTGTAGGTTGCTTTCCTCTGCGCTTTGTGGAGGCAGGGACTGGGCTCCCAGCGACGCGGGCTGTCCCTGGTTTAATTACATCGTTCCTCCTGGAAAAAAATAATCCACTTAGGCGCCTTGTAACAACGGCAACGATTATCACGAACGTTTGTGCACATATCACAGCACTGTACCGCGTGCGGTGTCTTTTATCTAAACAGCAACTCTATTAGGTCAGCTAGGTGGGTGCCGCTCTTCGCAGACTGGGAAGCTGAAGCCCAGGGAGTCAGTGACTGGCCCGCCCGCGAGTATCTGGGAGGCGTGAAACGGGGGTGTTCTCGTTCAGGGAGCTGGGCTTGAGAGGCCCAGGTCTTCCTCGCCAGCCGCCTGCCCTCCTCGGGTTGGGGATGCAGCCCTGACTGTTCCTGGGACCTCAGTCAGTGACCTGACCATAGCATTCACTCAGGAGGTACTTAACCGCATGCGCCCACCCTGTCTGCTGCTGGAGCCTTAGTTGGTGTGCAGAATGGGATGCGGTCGCTGCTTTGGTGGAGCCAGCAGTTCAGTGGGGGAGGCAGAAGCATGAATTACAGGGTAAATGTGGAACTACAACAGTGAGGGTAAGGAAGGAAAGCCTGGAAAACTGTTACAGGAGGACCCCTTTGGCTCGGGGAGGGGAACCGAGGCAGGTGGGGATGGTGTAGCCGGGAAGCTTTCCCGAGCATGTGAATTTTGGAGCTGCAAGTTAAAGACCGAATGTGATTTAATGAGGGATGAGCCCTTTTCAAAGGCTAAAAGTGATCTCTGACTTCAGACCTTCACCAGATCTACCCCAGCCACATTGTCACGTCTACATGGGTGAGTCACTGATGCATTTAGTCATTTGTTCAATAAATCTTTAAAGAGCTTCCAGTGTGTGGTGTAAGTGGTGGGCAAAACAGGCCTCGTCTCCGCCCTGATACAGCTTATATTAAGGACATTTCAGTCGATTCTCCAAATTCCTTTTTTGTGTGTTTCATTGATTTAAGACGGTGAGCACAGATTTGCATGATATGAATCATGAGTCTAAGGCAGGGTGTTTAAGAAAACCACCCCTAAAGGTTTTTGGAGGTTTTATTTGTTGATGATGACTCAGTTCCTTCATTGTGGGCTCAACACACAGTTGCGCTTTACTAGGTATTCAGCAAGGTTGGTTCCTCTGGGTGTAGTCGCTGTCAAATCTTTAAGCCATTACTCTCATTGAATTGGTGTAAAGTGAGTAATTTCCCTAGAACAGTCCTGCATTTCTGCATTTATTGCACCGAGTGTTTATTGACTGTCTCCTGGGCACTGCAGCAGCCCAGAAGTGAGATGTACACTGCAAAGGCATCTTAATATCCTGAAGGAAAAGCAGCAGAGAGAAAAGGGAGACCTACCGGTGGTAGATACTTTAAGAGTGGAGAGGAGCCTGTTTTATTATCAGGTATTAATCATTCGTGTATTCTTTAGCTGGGGAAATGTCCGATGAGGAGATCAAAGAGAAGACACTAGCTTCAGCTGTAGCCTGTTTAGAAGGGAAGTCACCAGGGGAGAAAGCAGCAATCATACATCAGCACCTTGGCCGCCGAGAAATGACAGATGTGATCATTGAGACCATGAAGTCCAACCCAGGTATGCTGCCTAAAACCCTAGACTCTCCTTTGTAACATAAACCCCTGGTTGCCTGTTGTACACATGTTGGTCAGTGAGCCCATTGTTTTGACCTCTAGCATACTTTTGTCTTTACTGACTGTGCCTTGCACGAGATTGTCAAGCCACATTTCAACTTCCCCAAATATTTCTCCTAAATTAATCCTAACAAGCTGGGTTGACAACTCTATTCAGTGAAGAGAGCTACTTACCACCTAGGTCAGTGGCAGATCATGAATGAATCCGGATAAGCATGTTGTGTCTCCCCCTGCTCTGCCAGCTCACTCCAACCAGGGGAGTGGATGTGTACTACATCTCCAGCATGGAGGTGGTCAGAACTGGTAGGTTTGGTTTCCAAACTTAATAGCTGTGAATGTTTGTCCCACTTAAAAGTGCATGATGTAAGGCACCTGCTTTTATTATGGCATTGCTTTTATTATGGTAAGAGCCACCTTGAGGGTAGTAATGAGGTTTTTATGGGGCAGAGAACACTTTCAAGTTGAGATGCCCCCAAAACATGGCTGTCTGTGACTATACTTCTTAAAGCAACACATGACAATTTCTGTTAAAGTTTGTTCCTCTGCCTCAAAATTTTAACCTAATCAGAATCCTTCAGCATATTTCCTATCAGTTTATAACCTGCTAATTTTTGATTTGTGAAAGATGAGCTGAAAGCTACAATGGAAGAAGGAAAGTCTTCAGAAGCATCCCCTACTGCACAGAGAAGTAAAGATCAAAGTAAAGAAGGCATAAATGCTGCTCCTGATTCTCCATCCAAACAGCTTCCAGACCAGATTTCATTCTTCAGTGGAAATCCATCAGTTGAAATAGTTCATGGTATTATGCATCTTTATAAGACAAAGTAAGAAAAACCTTTTTCCTTTTGAGTTGGTCTATTTTTTGCTTTAGAGAAGAGAAAAATATTTTGCCCTGAAGGGAAGTGGGTATTTTGTTTCAAAAAGATGGTATACTCTTTTGTGTGTTAGAGAATTCTTAAATGTTTTACATTTGGTTAATCTTGTAGATTGGGTCTTCTCCTTATAAAAGAGATGTGTAAATAAATAGCCTTCCTAGGAAAATATTCCCTGAGAAGGCAGGCATGCAAGGTGATTGGAAAATTGAAAGGAAAGAAGATAGAAAAGAAAAATTATAAATGATCCATAACATCGCAATAGTCTCATATCTCCACCAAATCTTTATGAAAGAAACTAGGAAATCAGGTAATGGATAGCAATTTCATCACCTCTTTTTACCCTTTTCTGTGATCCAAGCAGAAGGCTTACAGGAGGCCAACAGAAAGGAAGCATTTGGCTAAATATAAGCTGGGCCATCAGCTTCTGGGATAATTGGTAGCTGACTTTTTTAAGGGCTGTCCTTGTCCTAACTGGTATGTTAAACTCCTACCAGGAAACAGCAAATACTCAGGTAGCCATTTGTAATCGCAGCTGTTGAAGTGAGTTTGCAGCATTTCAGAAGCAAATTGTAGTGAGGGAGGTTTCTTTCCCTCTCCTCTATTCCAGCTGTTCTGACCCAGCAACACTTTCTATAATCTTCAGAGTCACATCCACATGGTTCAGAATTCTCATTCATATATTTAGAGCTCTTTTCTCTTCTAGATCCTTTAAAGAAGTCCATAGTTAGAATTGTGCTTCCAAGTTACATAATGAGAGATGATTATTAAAAAAACTAATGAGAATAAAATACAAACTGCCAATTTG